AGGGGGAGAGCGAGGAACAGGAGCCCTGGCCAGGGGGTGGGGAGCGAACCCAAAACTCACGTGCGTGCCTTGGACCGGGAATTAAGCCAGAAACCCTTTTGTGCGCAGGCGGGCGCTCTAACCACTGAGCCCGCCGGCCGGGCGAACCACCACAGCCCCGGTTCCCTGAATGAACCGAGCGTGGACGTGACGCTATGGTGACCGACACGCACCCCGTCCGCAGGGCAGCGGTCGCCGCTGAACGACTTCCAGGTGCTGCGGGGCACGGAGCTGCGGCACCTGCTGCACGCGGCGGGGCCCGGGCCCTGGCAGGAGGACGTGGTGGACGCCGAGGAGTGCGCCGGGCGCTGCGAGCGCCTGCTGGACTGCAGGTGCGTGGCCCCGGCCTAGACAGGACTGGGCGGCAGGCCGGGCCCCCGTGACCCCGTGCCTCCTCCCAGGGCCTTCCACCACAACGTGAGCAGCCAGGGCTGCCAGCTGCTGCCGTGGACTCAGCACTCGCCCCACACCTGGCTGCAGCGCTCGGGGCGCTGCGACCTCTTCCAGAAGAAAGGTGAGCGCCCAGGAGCAGGGGGGCCGGGCGGGGGCGGGCCTCAGGCCTCGTGGACGCGGGTGTCTATCCCTCCCAGACTACGTGCGGACCTGCATCATGGACAACGGGGTCACGTACCGGGGCACCAAGGCCGTCACCAGGAGCGGCCTGACCTGCCAGCGCTGGAGCCACAGGCACCCCAACGACCACAAGTGAGCAGCCGCTCCTTTCTGTCCTGCGGTGGGCACCCCCACCCCCACGCACACGGCTCTCTGCGCCCAGGTACATGCCCACACCCAAGAACGGCTTGGAGGAGAATTTCTGCCGCAACCCCGACGGGGACCCCAGAGGCCCCTGGTGCTACACGACGGACCCCGCTGTGCGCTTCCAGAGCTGCGGCATCCAGTCCTGCCGGGAGGGTAGGCCAATCTGGGCGGAGCCTGGGGGCGAGGAGCAGCCCCGCCCCGCCCATAACCCACTGCCCTGTCTCCAGCCGCGTGCGTTTCCTGCAATGGAGAGAATTACCGCGGCGCCCTGGACCGCACCGAGTCAGGCCGCGAGTGCCAGCGCTGGGACCTGCAGCGCCCGCACCCGCACCGCTTTGAGCCCACCAAGTAGGCGGGCGGTGGGCGCGATGCCCCGGGGCCGGCTGGTGGGGGGCTGGGGACTTAGGGGCGGCCCCATGTCAGGCAGCAGGGCGGGGCCCGGGTCCTGTTCACGTCCGGCCGTGGCCCCAGGTTCCCCGACAAAGACCTGGACGACAACTACTGCCGCAACCCCGACGGCTCGGAGCGGCCCTGGTGCTACACCACCGACCCGCGGGTGGAGCGCGAGTTCTGCGACATCCCGCGCTGCGGTAGGAGGCCCGCCCGGGACCGTGGCCGTGGCCCCGCTGGTGAAGGGGCGGGGCACCTGGGGAAAGCGGGGGCGGAGCCAGGCAGGGGCAGGGGCGGGACTGGGCACCTGGGAACGTGGGGGCGGGGCCTCTCTGGGAAAGGGGCGGGGCACCTGGGGAAAGCGGGGGCGGAGCCAGGCCGGGGCAGGGGCGGGACTGGGCACCTGGGAAAGTGGGGGCGGGGCGAGGCGCCTGGGGCGTGGTCTCGCTGGGAAAGGGGCGGGGCACCTGGGGAAAGCGGGGGCGGGGCGAGGCGCCTGGGGCGTGGCCTCGCTGGGAAAGGGGCGGGGCGCTCGGCCTCAGCCCTAGCCTGGTCTCAGTTCTGGCTTCGGTTCGCCAAGGGCCCGAGGCGCAGCCGCGTCCAGAAGCTACGCCGCTCAATTGCTTCCGCGGGAAGGGCGAGGGCTACCGGGGCACGGCCAACACCACCGCCGCGGGCGTGCCCTGCCAGCGCTGGGACGCACAGAGCCCGCACCAGCACCGCTTCGCGCCCGACAAATACGCGTGCAAGTGAGCGGGGGCGACGGTCGCCGGGAAGCCCGGGCGGTGCGGGGCGTGGCCGGGCGGTGCCGGGGGCGGTGCCGGGCGGCGCGGGGCGTGGCCGGGGGCTCCAGCCGCAGGCGCGCTGATCGGCCCCCCAGGGACCTCAGGGAGAACTTCTGCCGGAACCCCGACGGCTCGGAGGCGCCCTGGTGCTTCACCACGCGGCCCGGCATGCGCATGGCCTTCTGCTACCAGATCAGGCGCTGCGCCGCCGACGTGCGCCCCGAGGGTAAGGCGGCGGCGACGGCGGGCGGAGGCGGGCCGGGCCGGGGAGACCGCTGACGCCCCTGCCCCGCAGACTGTTACTACGGCGCCGGGGAGGGGTACCGCGGCCGGGTCCGCAGGACGCGGAAGGGCGTCCCGTGCCAGCTCTGGTCGGCCGACGCGCCGCACAAGCCGCTGTGAGTCGTCAGCCCCTTCGGCCACCCAAGCGAGCCAGCCGGGAGTCCGGCCCTGCTCTGACCTCGCCCCTCCCGCCCAGGTTCACGCCCTCCTCCGCCCCCCACGCGCACCTGGAGGAGAACTTCTGCCGGAACCCGGACGGGGACAGCCACGGGCCCTGGTGCCACACCACCGACCCGCGGACCCCCTTCGACTACTGCGCGCTGCGGCGCTGCGGTGAGCCGAGCCGGCGACCTGCCTGCTGCCCCCAGCCCTGCCCCGGCCCGCCTCCCGACCCCCGACCCCAGCCCGCCGCCCGACCCCATCCCCGCCTCCCAACCCCAGCCCGCCTCCCGGCCCCGGCCCGCCGTCTGAGGCCGGCTTTCTATCGGGCGATCCCCTTTCAGATGAGGACCAACCGCCGTCCATCCTGGAGCCCCCAGGTACAGACGGAACGGGCGTGGGCGGGGGAGCCCGGCCTGTGCCCCCACCTGCCCGCAGCAGGAGTCACATGGCGCCCACCTCCCCAGACCAGGTGCTGTTTGAGAAGTGTGGCAAGAGGGCGCTCCGCGAGGACCAGTACCCCTCCAGGCTGCGCGTGGTGGGGGGCCAGCCTGGGAACTCACCCTGGACAGTCAGCCTGCGGAACCGGTGCGGCCCAATTCCTCTTCTCCCCGGACCCCCCCCCCCCCCCCCCCGGGAGCCAAGGCCGTCCTGCTGGTGCCCCGGGGGCGGGAACCTTGCTCTCCAGGGTTCTGGCTGAGGTGGCAGGTCCGGCCCGTGTGCGGCCTCACTGCTCCGTGCTGCCTCCTGCAGGCGCGGCCAGCACTTCTGCGGGGGCTCCCTGGTGAGGGAGCAGTGGGTGCTGACTTCCCAGCAGTGCTTTGCCTCCTGGTGAGCCTCCCGGGCCCATCCCCCTGCCTCATCCTCCCCCTGCCTCATCCTCCCCCTGCCTCATCTTCCCCCTGCCTCATCCTCCCCCTGCCTCATCTTCCCCCTGCCTCATCCTCCCCCTGCCTCATCCTCCCCCTGCCTCATCTTCCCCCTGCCTCATCCTTCCTCTGCCTCATCTTCCCTCTGCCTCATCTTCCCCGAGCCACCTCCCCGGGCCAGCCAGCAGGTGGCCCCGGGCAGCGGTGAGTCCCTTCTGAGCAGCTTGTCCGCCAGCCACGAGCCCCTCGTGGGCTACGAGGTGTGGCTGGGCACCATGTTCCAGAACCCGCAGCCCCAGGAGCCAGACCTGCAGCAGGTCCCGGTGACCAAAATGGTGTGTGGGCCCTCAGACTCCCAGCTGCTGCTGCTCAAGCTGGAGAGGTGAGTGCCCGCCGGCAGGGAGGTGGGCCGGCCCCTCGGCCGCGGGCCCTGAGCCCTGAGCGCCCTTGTTTCTGCCCAAGACCCGTAACCCTGAACAAGCGCGTGGCCCTCATCTGCTTGCCCCCCGAGCAGTACGTGGTGCCCCCGGGGACCAAGTGTGAGATCGCAGGCTGGGGCGAGACCAGAGGTGAGACATGTGCGGGCGGCCGCCCAGGCAGAGGCCAGCCCCGGCCTCCCCCAGCCTCCCTCCCCCCATTCCCTCAGCCCCGGCCTCCCCCAGCCTCCCCCCCATTCCCTCAGCCCCGGCCCCTCCCAGCCTCCCTCCCCCCATTCCCTCAGCCCCGGCCTCCCCCAGCCTCCCCCCCATTCCCTCAGCCCGGGCCTCCCCCAGCCTCCCCCCATTCCCTCAGCCCCGGCCTCCCCCAGGCTCCCTCCCCATTCCCTCAGCCCCGGCCTCCCCCCAATTCCCCCGCTGCAGGCACAGGGAACAGCTCGGTCCTCAACGTGGCTGTGCTGCACGTCATTTCCAACAAGGAGTGCAACACCAAGTACCGCGGGCGCGTGCAGGAGAGCGAGATGTGCACCAAGGGGCTGCTGGCCCCCGTGGGCGCCTGCGAGGTCGGTGGCAGGCCCGCGGGGGGGCGGGGAGACCGAGCCTCGGCCCCGCCCCTCACCCGGCCCCCCCACCAGGGCGACTACGGGGGCCCGCTCGCCTGCTTCACCCACGACTGCTGGGTCCTGGAGGGAATCATCATTCCCAACCGCGTGTGCGCCCGGCCCGGCTGGCCGGCCGTCTTCGTGCGCGTGTCCGTGTTCGTGGACTGGATCTACAAGGTCCTGCGGCTGGGCTAGGCCGGCCCGGCCCCCTGGCCCCGGCGGGACGGGCTTCCCGTCGGACATAAAGCCTCCTCCCCTCTCGCCGGGCGGTGCTTCGTCTCTGCTTCCGGGGGACCGGGTGGGCGAGCCGCCCTCTGACCGCCTCCGCCTGCGGTGCTCTGGAGGGGCAGGCCCCCGCGGCAGGGGGTGCAGGCAGTGCTAAGGGGGGGCTGCGGCAGAGGGAGCCGGCCGGGGCGCCCCGGGGGCCAGGACAGCAATGGTGATCCTCACGGCCCCGCCGCTCTCACACGGAGGTAGAGGCGGTCCCCACGCCGAGGTCTCAGCCCCCGGCGGGGCTGGGCACACAGGACCACAGGATCCAGACTCCTCGTTTATTGTGACCAGACAGCCCGCGCCCTGGCTCACCCGTCCAGAGTCCAGAGCCCAGGGCCTCGCTGCTCGGCCAGCCCCGGCTCTCCCGGCACCAGGGCGGCCGCCCCCAGCTGGCCAGCGCCGCCTTCAGCTGCCCAAGTGCATGCGCAGCCAGAGCACGGCGTTCATGAGGCTGTCGGCCTCCACCTCCACCTCCGACAGGGCGTGGGTGCTCTGCGGGTACAGCAGCAGCCTGCGGGCGGGAGGGTGTTGGAGGCTGGGCCCTCCCCGCCGGCGGCTCCCAGGGCTGCGCACTGTCCGCGGGCACTCACCGCACGGGCACGCTGCGGGCCTTGAGGGCGCGGTAGTACTCGATGCCCTGCTTGAAGGGCACCCGCCTGTCCTTCTGGCCCAGCATCAGCAGCAGCGGCGTCTTCACCTGGGCGGGCGCGGGGCGGGAGCGTGAGCGGCGGCTCTGCGCGGAGGGCAGCACGCGGGGCGGGCGGGCGGGTTTGGGGGGCTGCGTACCTGAGGGGAGTACTTGAGGGGCGACCTGTCTAGCATCTCCGCCCACATGCCGAGGTCTGGCAGGCGGTCGCTGCTGTAGGAGAAGCCGGCCTCCACCAGGCACCTGGGAGGGCAGACTGAGCTCGCGGCCGGCCGGGGCCGGGGCCGGGGCCGGGGGCGGGGTGGGGTGGGGCCGGGGGCGGGGTGGGCCGGGCGCGCGGGAGAAGGCGCTCACCAGTCGGGGATGTCCGTGGAGCCCAGCATGGAGGCGATGTTGATCACGGGGTTCCGGGCCACGCAGGCGCTGTAGGTCTCGGGGTACTGGCCAATCAGGTGGCAGGAGAGGAAGCCGCCGTGGGACCCGCCCACCAGGGCCACTCGGTCTCTGTCAAAGCGCTCCTCCCGGAGCACCTGCTCCACGGCAAACTACAGGCGGGCCGGCACTCAGCCGGCTGCGGGCACCCAGCTCCGCGCCCCCGCCTGAGGGGTCCGCCCGGCCCGTACCTGGACGTCCTCCACGTCCTGGCGGCCCACGTTGCCCGGGAGGGAGAGGATGCTGTCCTGGCCGAAGCCCGTGGAGCCACGGTAGTTCACTGGAGGCCAGGAGGGGACGGGGCAGCTGGTCAGCGACACTGCAGCCCCGGACGCTGCACCGGCTGCGGGGGAGGGGCTGCCGCGGGGGAGCCCTCCCTCCGAGTCCCCGGGCGGCTCCTGCGGAGCCAGGGCGGCCGGCAGTTCCTGGCGGTGGTGACCAGGGCCCGCTAGAGCTACCTGGGGCCTCGGGTGGCGCCTGTGGTGTTTGTACAAACAGCCACCCGTCCCCCGGCCTTGCGGGCCACGGTCACTCACCCAGCAGCACCGCAAAGCCCATCTGGCAGAGCATGGCTGGGAACAGCATCCAGGCCGTGACGAAGGAGGAGTGGGGGCCCCCTGCGGGCGGGGAGCAGAGGGTGAGGAGCCAGCCGGGGTGGGGTGGGGAGCAGAGGGGGAGGAGCCAGCCGGGGGTAGGGGGTGGGGAGCAGAGGGTGAGGAGCCAGCCAGGAGGGGGGTGGGCGGGGAGCAGAGGGGGAGGAGCCAGCCAGGAGGGGGGGTGGGCGGGGAGCAGAGGGGGAGGAGCCAGCCGGGGTGGGGGGGAGCAGAGGGGGAGGAGCCAGCTGGGGTGGGGAGCAGAGGGGGAGGAGCCAGCCAGGAGGGGGGTGGGCGGACAGGGAACAGGGTGGGAGAAGCCAGCCAGGGGGTTGGTGGGCAGGTAGGGCTCTAGGCCGGGTGCCTACCGTGAGGCATGACCACCATGGGCACTTGGGTCTTGTCGGGAGGGTTGCTGGGCTGCAGAAGGATTGCCTCAAAGTCCAGGCCGGCTGCGGGAGAGGCGCAGTCAGCAGGGCCACGGGGCTGACCTCCAGGCAGGCCTGGCCACGGTGCCCCACGGCCACCCGGACCCGGAGCCGCTCCCCGACCGCGCCGGGCTCACCGTACTGTGCGTTCTCCTGCTCCGGGGGCGGCTGCAGCACCCGGACGCCCCAGGAGATGTCGGGAATGGGCTCGGCCTCCTCCAGGGACACCCACACCACTGACCGCTCCTTCCCCGGGGGAGGCAGGAACCCCACTTTCTGCCAAGGGGAGAGGGGGTGTCACGGGGCCTGGCTGCCTTCCTGCCCATCCGCCTCTGCCTGGGTGGGGGGGCAGCCTTCTGAGCCTCTGCCCCTCCAGTGGGTGCTGCACGGATGCCCCCGTGTGCCGTCTGTGTCGAGGGCCCCCCTCCCCGCCCCCGCGACAGAGAGGCGCTGTTTGCCAGAGGCTGGGCGCGGCCCCAGGAACCCCTGCGCAGGGCGGACCCGGCTGGCGGTCTGTGGACCACGCTGCAGGGCCCAAGGGCCTGCCTGTGCTGACCCGGAGCTGCTGGCGGGCCCTGCCGCCAGGCGGCCGCACTCACCAGGCTCGGGGGCAGGCTGGGCGTGGAGAACTGCGCCACCATGAGGTCCCGGTCCATCGTGAGCAGCTTCCAGCTCCCTCCCAGCCCCCCTGGGGAGGCAGCGGCCATCAGCACCCGAGGGCCGCCTTCCCCCCGCTCCCTGCGGAGCCAGCCCTGGCCGGAGGCCACAGCGGGTGCCTTCCTGCCCTGGAAGCGAAGGTGCCCGCTCGGGACATCCCAGGCCCCAGAGCCACGGTCCGGGAGCCTCCTGCTCAGGCTGCTGCTGTGCCCGGGCTGCTAGACCCGGGACACCGGACCCCACGCCACGCCCGTCCTCACTCCACTGCAGCCTGCGGTGGCAGCCAGGCCGGGGCGCCGGGGGGGGGGGGGGGGGGGGATCCTGGCAGTGGGGTCCGAGGAGGTTCCTGAGCAGGCCTCTGGCGAGGTGCAGCCAGGGACGGGCCCTCAGTAGCCAGGAGTGAGTGAAGTCTGGGCAGAAGGACTAGGCAGGTCACCAGCTGGTTCGAGGAGGGAGGGAGGAGGGAGGAGGGAGGAGGGAGGAGGGCTGCCCCGGGCCTGGGCCTGGGCCTGTGCCTGGTGCTGTGGAGGCTGAGCGCCAGGTGGGGCCGCTCTAGGGCCGGGCAGGACATGGCGCCCAGGGGCGCGGGGGAGGCGGCTGTGGCACTGGCAGGAAAGGCTGCAGGACGCAGTGGCACAGGCCGAGGGCCACCTCTGCCCAAGCGCAAGCCCCAGCCCCACCCCGGCCTGGCTGGCCCACTCGGCCCCCCACTCACCAGCCGTCAGGGAGGTCACAGTGCCCACCTGGGTGTCCACAGCAAACAGGTCCTAACAGAAGGCAGCCAGTGGCCTCCTAGCCCAGGGTCCTGTGGTCCCGCCTACCCCCCCCCTCTCCCCTTCCCCCCCGCTGGGACGCCTGAGCCAGGCCAGGGCTGAGAGCAACTATGGTGACGGCTACGGGACAGGAGGCAGCCACCTGAGGGACCGAGTTCAAATCAGCCCCGTCACAGCGTGCCCAGTGACCCTGGCGTGTCAGGGCCGCCTTGGAGCCCTCTCTAGCCAGAATGAGGACCCCATGGCATCACACCCAACAGGGACCTGCACACTGTGGTGCCCACCCAACCCTGGGAGAAGGCCCTGCCCCTCTACCACGCCCCCTGCAGTGCTTAGGCCCCCGTGCCAGCCCCCTGTCCCAAGCCGGAGATGCCTGGGGAGGATGGAGGCCAGGGCGGCTGTCGTGGCTGCTCCAGGACCCCCAGGGCAGCCAGAGCCGCCAGGACGAGCTGGCAGGCCTCGGGGCGGGCGAGGCTGGTTGCCGGCACTGCAGCCAGGGGGAGCAGACGCGGGGCCTAGGCCCAGGCCGCCGCCCAGTAGCCGGGCCCTCACCTGCTGGCTGCGCTGAGCGGAGTCGAAGACCACGCGCCGGCTGTCCGCGGACCAGCAGCCCGGCGGCAGGTGGCTGCAGTAGATGCCAGAGAAGCTCTCTGCGGAGACAGGAGCGGGTGTGGGGGCTGTGGGGGCTGTGAGGGGGCTGTGGGGGGCTGTGGGGGGCTGTGGGGGCTGTGGGGGCTGGGAAGGGCTGTGAGGGGCTGTGAGGGGCTGTGTGGGGGCTGTGGGGGCTGTGAGGGGCTGTGGGGGGCTGTGGGGGCTGTGGGGGCTGGGAAGGGCTGTGAGGGGCTGTGAGGGGCTGTGAGGGCTGTGCGGGGCTGTGAAGGGGCTGTGAGGGGCTGTGAGGGGCTGTGAGGGCTGTGCGGGGCTGTGAAGGGGCTGTGAGGGGCTGTGTGGGGCTGTGAGGGGCCGTGAGGGGGCTGTGCAGGAGCTGTGCGGGGTTGTGTAGGGCTGTGAGGGGCTGTGAGGGGCTGTGAGGGGCTGTGCGGGGTTGTGTGGGGCTGTGAAGGGGCCGTGAGGGGGCTGTGCAGGAGCTGTGCAGGGTTGTGTAGGGCTGTGAGGGGCTGTGAGGGGCTGTGCGGGGCTGTGAGGGGCTGTGAGGGGGCTGTGTGGGGTTGTGTAGGGCTGTGAGGGGCTGTGAAGGGGCCGTGAGGGGGCTGTGCGGGGCTGTGAGGGGCTGTGGGGGCTGTGAGGGGCTGTGGGGGCTGTGGGGGGCTGTGAGGGGCTGTGGGGGCTGTGAGGGGGCTGTGGGGGGCTGTGCGGGGCTGTGAGGGGCTGTGAGGGGCTGTGGGGGCTGTGAGGGGGCTGTGCGGGGCTGTGAAGGGGCCGTGAGGGGGCTGTGTGGGGCTGTGAGGGGCCGTGTGGGGCTGTGAGGGGCCGTGTGGGGCTGTGTGGGGCTGTGAGGGGCCGTGTGGGGCTGTGTGGGGTTGTGCGGGGCCGTGAGGGGGCTGTGTGGGGCTGTGCAGGGCTGTGAGGGGCTGTGAGGGGCCGTGTGGGGCTGTGCGGGGTTGTGTAGGGCTGTGAGGGGGCTGTGCGGGGCTGTGCGGGGCTGTGAGGGGCTGTGTGGGGCTGTGAAGGGGCCGTGAGGGGGCTGTGTGGTGCTGTGAGGGGGCTGTGCGGGGCTGTGAGGGGCCGTGTGGGGCTGTGAAGGGGCCGTGAGGGGGCTGTGTGGGGCTGTGAGGGGCCGTGTGGGGTTGTGCGGGGCTGTGAAGGGGCTGTGCGGGGTTGTGTAGGGCTGTGAGGGGGCTGTGTGGGGTTGTGTAGGGCTGTGAGGGGCTGTGCGGGGCTGTGCGGGGCCATGAGGGGGCTGTGTGGGGCTGTGAAGGGGCCGTGAGGGGGTTGTGTGGGGCTGTGAGGGGCCGTGTGGGGTTGTGCGGGGCTGTGAGGGGGCTGTGTGGTGCTGTGAGGGGGCTGTGCAGGGCTGTGCGGGGCCGTGAGGGGGCTGTGCGGGGGCCGTGCAGGGCTGAGGGAGGGACAAGGAGGCTCCAGTGCAGGTCCTGAGAGCCCAGGTGGAGAGCGGCTTCAGGCAGCCGCTGGGAACCCAGAGAAATCTTAACTGGCCCCCCTCCCCCAGCTGTCCTGACCCCCGCCCCACCCCCACCCCAAGCGTGGCCACTCGGACCCTGTGCTGGGCCAGCTGACTCCCTCTCCCGCGGAGGCTGCCCGTGGGCTGGGCCCGCAGGAGACGGAAGGAGGAAGACACTCAGCTCCGCCGGCCACACGCCCCTCACCTCCCAGCTGCCGAGGCACCACGTCCACCACCACCGAGGTGACCTTGGTGTACCAGTCATACTGCGGGACACACGTTAGGGGTTAGGCCGGACGGGCCCGCGGGCGAAGCTCGCCCGCCGCTCCGGGGTAACAGGAAGGGAGGCCGGAGGAGCCTGCGGTCCTTCCCGGCGAGCTGGGCCGAGGTCTGCCAGGGCCTCCGGCACCCTCCCGGGCCAGAGCCGCCACGTGCCTGAGGCAAAGGGAGGGCGCAGCACTGGCAGCCAGGCCCGGCCTCACCCCCTCCACCGGGACAGGAGGCCCCGCCCACTCCGCTCACCAGGCACAGTCGGCTGCACTGGTGATGGGGGACCAGAGACGGGTACTGCAGGTACAGGATGCGGCACTGGTCCGGGCTCAGCCGGGGCGAGGAGACAGCCAGGGAGTCGTCCGACAGGAGCTCTGGGCCGGACGGAAGCGGAGGGTCACGCGGGCGGGCGGGCGGGCGGGCGGGCCAGGACAGCTGGGGGAGGGGGGCAGCACTTACCGCACTTGCCCCCGGTGAGATCCACGTAGTACAGGGCCGACCTGAAACCAGCAGGCACTGGGCGTCAGGCGGCCTGAGCCACAGCCCCGCCCGCCCGCCCGCCCGCCGGCCCCTCCTCACCTGCGGTTGGTGCAGAAGCGGACGCCCAGCCGGAAGGGCTCGTGCTGCCAGCCCACGAACACCAGGCCCGTGTCTCCGGGCGCCCAGAAGGCCTGTGGACGAGACCGGGCAGCGTGAGGGAGCAGCTCGGGCGGCGGGCCCCGGAGCGGGGGCGACGAGACCGGGCAGTGTGAGGGAGCAGCTCGGGCGGCGGGCCCCGGAGCGGGGGCGACGAGACCGGGCAGCGTGAGGGAGCAGCTCGGGCGGCGGGCCCCGGAGCGGGGGCGACGAGACCTGGGGGCGTGAGGGGAGCAGCTCGGGGCGGCGGGCCCCGGAGCGGGGGCGACAAGACCCGGGGGCGTGAGGGGAGCAGCTCGGGGCGCGGGCTCACCTGGCCGGGGGACACGCCCTCCGGGACGCCCTCCAGCACAGAAATGTGGCCGCTCTCCACGTCCAGCACGCAGAGCACCGGGGTGCTTTTGGAGGCCATGCTCTCCCCCCAGTCCTCGTAGAACACAAACTGGTCCCCCTGCGGACACGAGAGCTCAGCGCCCGGCGCCTCCCCGGCCAGCCCGCCCCGGAGCAGTGCCTTCAGGGCCTGCGGGGTGCGGGGAGCAGGGTGGGCCGGGTGTGGGGTGCGGGGTGGGCAGTGTGGGGTGCGGGTGGGCAGGATGTGGGGTGCGGGTGGGCAGGGTAGGCACGGAGTCCAGCGCCGCCCTGTGAGCCTCCCCGGCCTGGCCCTGCCCCGCCCAGAGCACCTTGACGGCCTGGTCCGGCTTCAGGGGCCCGGCCCCCTCGTCCTCGCTGACATCCAGGGCTTTGGTCTGGAAGAAGGACTCGGTCTTGGGGCGCTTCTTCTCCGCCACGTACACCAGGTGGGTCTCCGAGTGTGACCAGGACAGGCAGCCGAAGCAGTCTGGTGAGAGGGCCGGTCAGGGCAGCCCCGGGGGCCGCCCTCCGCCCACCTGCCCGGCACGGCCGCGCCTCACCGTCCTCGTACACCGGCCCGTGTTTCTCCAGCGCCGACAGGTTGAAGCTCTTGAGCTTCCGGTTCTTCTCCCAGATCTGGGGACATGGGTGTCAGGCGGCCTGTGCCCCAGCAGAGCCTGACTCGCAGGCTGAGCCCCACTGCCCCCGGCTGTCCGCGCCCACCTCCAGGAACTGCTTCTCCTCGCCGGCGCCCGCGCTCCCCGCCTTGCGCAGCACGGCCTTCATGGCGCCCGAGGGGGACTCCCTGCTCAGCAGCCTGCGGAGACGTGGGCAGGTCAGGGTCACCTCCCGCCCAGCATGGCCCAGACAGGCCGCAGCCTCTGAGGCCGGATGCTGGAGGCCTGGCAGTCCTGGCCCCACCGCGGGCACAGGCTCCCTCCTGCCAGCCTCCCGGAGCCTCCGAGGCTCAGCTCCAGGCCCGCGTCTGGGGCGAGCCCGGTCTTATCAGGGCCCGTCAGGAGCAGAGTCCCCAGGGCAGGCCTGGCCCCGGCCTCAGCGCCGCTGGGCCTGCCCCACACTTACTCCCCGCGGGTCTCCACGCTGCTGCCCGCGGGCCCTGCGAACACCACCGAGTCGCCGTCGTGGAACACCAGGTACTGGCGGCAGAAGCGGATGTTCTCCATGCGCTCCAGGTCCCGCTGCGTCCACTCTGCGGAGAGGCCAGAGGCCGGTGCTCAGCCGCCCCGCGGCTCCGCCCTCCGCCCTCGCCCGGGAGGCCCGCCGGTGCAGAGCGGGCACCCAGCGCCGCAGCTCAGGCCGGGCCTCCCAGCGACACTCCCGCGGCGCCAGCACCCACCCCCGCGGCGCCTGCACCCATGCCACCCCGCGGTGCCTGCACCCATGCCACCCCGCGGCGCCAGGCCGGGCGCAGCCACTCGCTCAGCTCAGCCCGGGCGCGTCCAGACGCCGGGTGCGCGGTGCGCCCTCACCCCCCGCGCCCTCGGACCGCTTCCCCCGCACATGGGCGGCCCGGCGGCCCGCCCCGCACCCCGCGGCCGCGGCCCCTCACGCACCGGTGTGCACGGTCCGGTAGCGGCCCCCGTACTGCGTGGTGACCTCGGGGCCCAGGCCGGCGGCGCTCAGCGCGGGCTGGCGGCTCAGCGCGCGGTACAGCGCCGCCGCCTCGGCCGGCTCGCTCAGCAGCACCTGCGCGGGGGACACAGGAGGGTCAGGCCCGGCCCGCGCCGCAGGGGCCGCGCGGGCCGGCGGCCGAGCCCTCACCTGCCGCTCCATGACTGCCGCCGGCGGGCGGGCGGGGCGGACGGCGCCGGAAGTGAGGCGCGGGGGCGGAGCCCGGACGGCCCCCGAAAGCCGCGCAGCCCCGCCTCCCTGGGGCGGGACCTCCGGCGGGGGCGTGGTCGTCGGTAGGGCGTGGTCTGGAGGGCGAGGGGCGGGGCCGGGCGAAGAGCAGGGCACCCGAGGGGCGTCCCGGGCGGGACCCGAGGACCGGGGCGGCTTGTAGGGGCGCGCAGGCTGGGCAGAGGCGGGCGTAGGGTCCCAGGAGAGGGGTGCGCGTGGGAGCCACGCAGGGGGGTCGCCGGCGGGCGGGGCCTGGGGGGACAGGGCCCCAGGGAGACGGGGAGGCCGGGGGTGGACCAGGCTGTGGGGGAGAAGCCAGGCAGGGCGGGGGGCCGGGGAGGGGCGGCCATCGGACGGGCGCGGCCTGGAGAGGGGTGCAGCGCCTGCCCCCCAGGAGCCCCGCCGCCCTGGGCTCTGTGGGCCCCTCCGGGCACCATGTGGGCGCACCTTCCCGGACAGCGCCGGCCTGACCTGGGCGGGGCTCGCGGGGCGCTGGGGTGCGGGGCAAAGGGCGGCTGAGCCCTGGGGTGTCGCCCGGGTTATCAGCCACCAGGCCCACCCCGCGAGCTATCTGCCCCGTCAGCCCTCAGCCACCTCCCCGCCCCCAGGCGCCTGGTGGGGACCCTGAGCGGCGGCCTCGCCTACCTCCCGCCTCCTTCCGAGCTCGGGGTGCAGAGGACCCGGTGGTCCAGTGCCCCCAGAGCCCCCGCTTCCCCATCAGCCACACGAGCTCCTCTGGATGAAGGCCTGGTCCGGGGGCGCTGCGCTGGGAGCACACCACCCAGGCGGGGAGGCCGGCGGGACAGGAAGAGCCGCCAGCCCCGCGGTGTTGGTACCGGGAAAGCGGGACACGGGCCGCCTTCGGGCTGTGCAGTGGGCCCGCTAGAAGCGCCAGCTCAGCTCGCTGGGGGCTGGGCACCGGGGTGGCCCCCAAGGACTGGGGTGAACTGCAGAAATGAGTGGGAGGAGCTGACCTTCCAACTTCCGTGTAAAATGAAGAGCCCCAGCCGGTTTGCTCCGCGAATAGAGCATCAGCCTGCGGACTGGAAGGTCCTGGGCTCTATTCCAGTTGGGGGCACAGGCCCGGGTTACCGGCTCAATCCCCAGTAGGAGGCGTGCGGGGGGCAGCCAGTCAGTGATTCTCTCTCATCATGGATGTTTCTGTCTCTCTCTCCCCATTCCTCTCTGACATCAATAAATATATATTTTAAAAGAATAAGATCAAATGAAAAATAACAGAAAAATACAAGACAGACATGCATTAAGGTTCTAACTTGGGGAGGGGGAGAAGGCCAGAGGCAAGGCTGAGCCTGTCTATTGTTCTGTGTCTTTAAAGTTACCTAGCAACGCAGGGCTCCTTTAGCAAGGGTAGCGGTCCCTCTGGGCAGGACTGAGGTCAGGCAGCCCCTGCACTTGGGGTTTGGAGCAGACACAGCCAGGCAGGCGGGCGTAGGACCTTTTGGCGGCACCAGGGGGCAGCACCGGCTCGCCGTCTCCCTGGGACCAGAGCCCAAACAGCAGTTTGGACACCACGGAGGAGGCGCCGACCTCCAAGGCCAAGCTTGGGCCTTCCCCGGGCGCCTCTGCGGGCTGTGGCTTGCACAGCCGCGTGGCCGTGGCCTTGGCCTTGGCCCTGGCCTGGCTGGCACCTGCGCACTCTGCCCACAGCTGCCCCCGGATGGGGCTGTGGCGAGCACGGGGATTCGCTCCTCCAGCTAAGCCTTCCCGCGCCAGAAACCATCCCGAGACAGGGTGCAGGTTGTGGATATCAAGTCCTTTTATTCTGATGCCACAGAGTTACCTCGTCACAGCACAGGGGAGGGACACGGAGGAGCACGAGTTCTCACAGGGCACAGAGGACACACTTCACAAGGTCAAGTGGAGGACTCGGTCATTGCACTTACAACTGTAAACTTGTTGGTGTGACTTTGTACAGCACTCCCCCCCAGATAGAGAAGGAGAGAAAGAAGGGAGGGAATGAAGGGAGGGAGGAGCGAGGAGGGAGGGAAAGCAAAACAAGACCGGGCAGCCAGCAGGGAGGCCGGGCGGCCCCAGCCCAGGCAGCGCCCCTGCGGGGCCGATTGGGTCAGAGGCCGGAGCGGACACACACCCACTCACACGGGTCACATGCACGCACGGTCACCGCTGCACGGCTCTCAGGGCCACCCATGCACGGGGCAGGCTGGGTGCCAGGGAGAGGGTGACGTCTCTGAGGAGGTTCATTGACCAGGCCTGTCACTCTGACCTGTCGGTCCACGGTGACACCTATTTACAAAGTGAGGGAGGGGACACGGTGGCAGGCCAGGCTGCCATGCAGGGACCTGAGGACCTGCCTGGGGACCCCCTCCCCCCATGGGCTCAGGGGACAGGCCCTGGAGCCACTGCTGCCCTCAGCAGGGCCCTGAGACCTCACTCTCCCAGGATGAGCAGATGGGGCGGGTGTTGCTGTGAAGTGAATGCCCTTCTGACGCTGGGCGTCTGGTGTGCAGAGGCCTGGGGCGTCCCCGGGACCCTTCCTGTTGGAGATGTGCTCGATGCTCCCCACTGCCCCGTGCTCCCCACTGCCCACGGCCTGAGGGCTGGTCCCTTAGCATCCACACGAGGCTGCACGCCTGTGCCCAGAGGCCTGCTCCAGCCGCCTTCACGGGAGTGAAGGCACAGGTGTGTCCTGTGGGTACGCTGGGGCAGGGAGGGGCAGATGTTAGACCTTTCTAGCACGGGGGCTTGGCCAGAAGGAAGTCTGCTGGAGTTAGCCGCCTGCAGCCCCCTCCTGCTCCTGCCCACCCCTGGCTTTGGTGGCGGAGAGCCTGGCCCGGGCTCAGAGGTGGTGGAGGGCCTGGTCTCAGAGGAGGCAAGTGCTCGTGGGGTGTGTGAGGCCCGAAATCCTGGAGGACCAGGGTCTCAGGCCCAACGCAGAGGCTGACACCTCCTGTCCCCCCGAAGCGGCCAGGATCCCCCTGACGGGCCGTGTGGACCGATGGGAAGCATGGAGATGTGGACCCTGAGAAATGCATGTGCAGGCGGAGCGCGGGAGGAAGCAGGGCAGAGAGGCCCGGGCCAGGAGGAGGCTGGCAGGGGTGCAGGTGGCTGGGCAGAGGCCGAGAGGCCGAGGTTTGCTGTGAGAAGCCTCCCAGACACCGGCCGAAGCCGCTGCCAAAGAGGACACCTGCTCAGTCCGAGATGACCTTTCCCGCTGCCCGCTCTCCTGACATGCTTCACCCTGGCCCACCGCCTGGCTCAGCCCTCTGTGCCTCTGCCACAGGGAGGGACCCGGAGCGGACAGCCTGGTCAGAGAGCCCGCAGGGCGCGTGGCCTGGCGCTGCCTGCCCGCAGCCTGGCGGCTCAGGCGGCACCAGCAGGTCCTGCTACTCGTGCAGAGGCAGCGGGCGCTCCCGAAGGAGAGGCTGAGGCGGAAAGGACTCCGAGGAGAGGGTCGAGCATTGGAAATGGATGAGATCGTGCAGAGGCCGGGGTGTGTGGGCTCACTGGGGGCGGCGGCCCGGCCAGAGTCAGACATGCCACAGACAGAGCACAGGCGGGAGCGGCCGGGAGGGTCTGATCTGAGCGTGTGTATCCAGTTCCTCAATTGCATGTTTGCAATGAGCTCCTTAGACATAGCATGGGATTTATTAAATATTAACAGTTGTCTTTGAGGGCTTCTATTTCATTGCATAGAACGTTAGAGATGAGACTGGTGCTGTGCCCAAGAGACAGAAAGTCCCCAAGGGCAGGGCCTGGGGAGGGCGGACAGAGCCACACTCCCCAGTCCTGGGGGGGGCGCTGGGCCCGCCCGGCCAGAGCCCGGCCTCTGCTGGAGCCGCCCGGCGATGGCTTAAGAAGAACTGGATTGCACAGTAAACGGGCGGCGGCTCGAGACCTCGCCCTGGCTTGTGCTCTGGGCGGCCTGCTGCCCGCTATTGCTGCGGCGTCGGCATCCCCCGAGTGGCAGGGGCTGAGCAGCGAGGACCAACGTCCGTCACGGGTGGAGGGAGGAGGTCAGGGGGCGAGCGAAGGAGAGGCGAGGGAGAGGAGAAACCAAAGATGTTCATGAGGTATACACGTAACCAACTGAAATGTTAAGGCTGCTCTCGAAATCAAAAGAAACCCCAGGCGTGGGGAGGAGCCCGCGGTGAGACATGGCGGTGCCCGAGCGATGGCTGGGAATGGCTTTGAGATGGCGGCCAGCGGGCACTGCCACCGCGGCTGCGGGGGCCTCGGCCAGCGCCCACGCTGCGTCCGGTGCTATGGCCTCTGGTTCCAGCAGGGACAGTGTGAGGTCCTAGTGTCTGTGCAGTCCTCCCACCCAACAGCCCAGAGGTCTGCGCCGAGGTCACCCAGAGGGTGTGTCCCCAGAGGGTGTGTCCCCAGAGGGTGTGTCCCCAGAGGGCTGGGGGGCGGGAGGGCCTGCGGAGGAGGGCCGGCACCCTCAGGCCCAGGCCGGGAGAACGTGGGGCCGCAGGGAGGCAGGTCCGTGGAGAGGCGGGTGCCCAACTCTGTGTATAACGCATGGGAGCCAGTGGCCGTGCAGGTCTGCAGAGGCTCCTCCGCCCTGCAGGCGGCGCCGGGGAGCAGGGGCTCCACAAAGGGGTCCGACAGGTGGTCCCGCTGGTCCAGCGGAGGCGGCCGCTGTAGCCAACATCCTGCCTCACGGAGGCCGCCCGCCATGTCCATCCGGCGAGTCTGGGAACCAAGGTGCCCCAGATTGTAGATGCTTGGAGGCGGGAAGGACGGAGGAGGGTGGCAGAGAAGAGAGAGGATGGAGGGAGGAGGGAGAAGGGAGGAGGGAGGCGGGAGGAAGCAAAGAGGATTTTGTCAGGAACTCGGACAGATGCTTCCCACCCTCTCTCCACTCGGCTGGCTGCCACAGCCATGGCCTCCTCCCCCTCAGGCTCCCGCCCGAGGCTGGGCCGGTGCCGGGCAGCTTGGGTGGAAGG